GGGACACGGACGGCGACACGGGGACGCGCCCTGCGCTGCCCCCGGTTGCTGGGTGGGTTACCGGAGCGCAGGTAGACGGCCTAAAGACCCCAGCAGCAACAACAACAAAAAAAAAAACAAACCAAAAAAAACAAAAAAAAGGGTGCTTGTCTGTCACCCTAATGAAGAAAAAACAGCCTTGGTTTCCAGTAAGCAGTGACGTTTTATTTGCCTGGCTGGCCTGGCCGGGCACTTGGCGCTCTGAGGGCTCTGGTGAGGCCACACCTTGAATGCTCTGTCCATGCCCCTCGCTACAGGAAAGATCTTGTGCTGGAGCGTGGCCAGAGAAGGGCAACGAAGCTGGTGAGGGGTCTGGAGCACGAGTCTGATGAGGAGCGGCTGAGGGAACTGGGGTTGTTTAGCCTGGAGAAGAGGAGGCTGAGGGGAGACCTGATCGCTCTCTGCAACTGCCTGACAGGAGGCTGTAGGGAGGTGGAGGGGTTGGTTTCTTCTCTCAGGTAACAAGCAGTAGGATGAGGGGAAATGGCCTCAAGTTGCACCGGGGGAAGTCTAGATTGGACATTAGGAAAAATTTCTTAACTCAAGGGGTTGTCAAGCATTGGAAGTGGCTGCCCAGGGAAGTGGTCAAGTTCCCATCCCTGGAGGTATTTAAAAGACAGGTAGACGAGGTGCTTAGGGACATGGTTTAGTAGTGGAATGGCAGTGTTAGGTTAACGTTTGGATTTGATGACCTTAAAGATCTTTTTTAAATTAAATGGGTAATGATTCTGAAGCAAGCGATGACTGCAGGCAAATAGAGGAGCCCCTGGGGAGCTGTGCTTCCTCTTCCCCTGCTGCTGGGTCTCTGTGTTGAGCCTATCCGTGACATGCCCCCACTGGTGGTGCCGGAGGTGTGGGCAGCATGGCAGCTGGCTGAAAGGCTCTCACAGGCCCAGTGCACGTGTGCAGAGCCATGCAGTTCTCTGCACACCCAGCTCTGCTGCAGAAGGTGGAAGTATTTTAAGGAGGAAGTTCAGAGTCATCATTGTTATCCCATAGCAAAAGCTTTTCCTCACAGTTCCTCAGAGTTACAGCTTGAGGTTTCAATGAGGAGCTGCCTGACTTGGTTTAATAATGTTCCTGTCTATGTAATTTGCTTACATTAGAAAACAACTTTTGAAATCTGGTTATCTGAGATTTTTTTTTTCCCCTTATTATCAAGTACAGATTTGCATTTTCCTGGCTTAGATGCTCATATGAAAATGATCTTTTTGTTTGCTAAAGATTAATTCAGCCTTGAATATTTCTCTATAGAAAGGCAAACTATGCCACCAGTTAGTGAGTCACACTTCTAAAAAAAAATATGCAGTGATATGTCACTAGGTGAATTTCACCATGTGCTTTGTTTTGTGAGTTTTCTTTAGCAGGTGTTTTTGCATAAGCTAGAACTTCTCTATCTGAAGTGACAGATATGGCTCCGTGTACTCTGTCCAACTTCCGAATATATTCTGCCACAGATATTTTTAGGTGATGCCAAAATACGTTGATTTCAATTTAATGGTCTCATTCCATCTAGAGAAGGGTTTCTCCTGAGACTGGCTGTAATATTCAAGTAGCTTTTTGCATCCTTGTTTTCTTGCTCTTCCCCAGCGGCAGCTGGTACTGTAGGTCACTGTAACATGCTGTGACAGCCACGGATCGTCTTGGAAGTCAGTTGATCAGTGCTGATGATGTGTTGCTTATGTGTAGGCATGCTGAAGGGAGAGGGCCAACCTAATGTGTAAATCTGGTGGTGGAACCCAACTAGGATCACCCCAAAAGAAAAGGGTTGGGTCCTAGGGCTAGAAGAAGCTTTTTAGGAGGGGGAGTGGTGCAATGATAGGGCACTGGGTTGCAGTGTGGCAATTCAGTCCTGATCTCTGAGTAACCTGGAAGATGTAAATGTCCTTCAGCTTCTCTCACCTGCAGAATAGGTGTAATTCAACTGTCTTTTCTTAAGTGGAACTGATAAAGCATAGGTGATGCTGTGTGGTCCATATACCATGTGCTGTAGAGTTTCTGCATCACTGAACTGTATCTTCCTCTCATGTTCAGACTTGAGAGAGAATATGCAGCTTCCTAGTCAGGTTATTAACCACTTGCAGCAAAGCTAACTGGTTTTTGCCTAGTTCTAACTTTGATGTCTCAGATCTTACTCCCCCCAGTCTTTGGATTACAAAAAGTCTTTTGCTATGTGGATTTTGTTACTTGTCATTTTTCATCAAGTCATCTCGCAACCTCTCTGAGGTAAAAGGAAGGATTATGAGGTTTTATGTGCAAAGTCTCAAGCAGTAGTAAGATCCAGAAGTATGCAGTCTTTCTTAAGAGAAAACAGTTTCCTTGTACCTTCTAATGACACTTTTTTTTTTTTTTAAGCATTCTAAGAGTGCTTGAGTTGTTAACCAAAGAGATTTACCTGTTGTTCTCCAGTCTGTTGCTAGAGAGACAAATGAGTGGTAGACTAAGATCCTCATGAGAAAAAATAAAGGAGCACCTTACACTACCAGTGTATCAAGTGCTGGTCCTAAAATCAGTGTAACTGTACTAAGACTACTATGAAGTCCAGCATTATGTGATCCTATAAAAGATGTGTTTGAGTGCCTGCTGTGCAAGAGGTGTGGGTGGTTGGCTTAGCTGTTTCTATGAGAAAGAACTGAAATAAAATGTAGCTGATAGTGGGGATCTGCATGGAAATTTTGCTGCTCTTGTACCAGTACTAGTTAGAGTAGCAGCTTTGACAAAATGCTCTCTGGAGAGCCATAGCAGGAGTGGCATAACTCCAGCTAGCTTTAGGCAGAGATAATATATTACATGATCCTGTGGAATCATGATTATAGTGAGGAGGGAAAGTGCATATCTTGCCTTAATTTCCTTTTTTTTTTCTGGTGAAACTGGAATCCCTGTCCCTTATCTTTTCCTTCTGATCTGTGGGGGGTATGCTGATTGCTTTGCTTTTTGTTCTAGGCACAGTGAGCTGCACGTTATTTCTGGCAGTTAATGGTTTATATTCGGCCAGTGATGATGTGATAGAGCTAACACCAACTAACTTCAACAAGGAGGTCATTCAGAGTGAGAGCCTGTGGCTTGTGGAGTTCTATGCCCCATGGTAAGAGCTACAGCTACGTACTTACTTGCTCTTATGGAGAAGCAGCATAATAATCTGGTGCTGATTAGTCCAGGCTTTCATTCAGTTGTTGGCAGTACAGTTATCAGTCTGATGGCCTCATGACTAGCAAAATAGCTGTAGTTGGGATTTCTGTTTTAAATATCCTCATTGGGGAAAAGGCAGGAGCTGGGAGTCACGTGGAAGAGACAAGGGGTAATGGGTAAGTTACTCCTGGGGAGATTCTGATTGGACACAAGAGCAAAATTTTTCACAGTGAGAACAATCGGCCATTGGAATAATCTCCCCAGGGGAGTGGTGGGTTCCTCAACATTGGACACTTTTAAGATTTGGCTGGACCATCTTGTCTAGACTGTGCTCTTGCCAAGAAAGGTTGGACCAGATGATCGTTGAGGTCCCTTCCAACTTGATATTCTATGAAAACCTTATATGCCACTTTACTACTTCAATTTTTCTACTGAAATCAATATTAAAAGTGACTGATCAAAGTGCAGTGGGTAAGTGAGAAGGCCCCTCACTTCTATCTTTCTGAACCGGATTCTGATGAGAAAGCACAAATCTCAGTTCACACTTAGAATGTTCAATTTCCATTGAAAAATACTGGCTTTGTGCATCTTAATTTAGCACCTGTCTCCCATCCTGCTCATGTCTGGAGCGTGGAGTCTTCCACGTAAATTCTGGTGATGGATATTCCATCTTTGCACAAATCCTCTGTACTATTGCCATCCAAAGCTCCATGTTCTGGAGAAAGGGGCCTTTCGTGGCAATGGCCTGACTGTGTCTGGACTGAGAGGCTTAGGGGAAAGCTTGCTGTGCTGCTTCTAGTGTTGTTGCAGCTTTACGGGCAATGGGAAGCTTTGTTGAACAATGGCAATAAAGTGTAGAAGTGCAGTAAATTGGCAGCTCTTCTGCCATTGGTTGGTCTTTTCTCCCAGACACCTCAAAGAGATGTTGTGCCACAAATTCTTGCTAGTTAAGAAGTTACCTTTAGCATAACTTTTTCAGGCCTCATCATGGGTCCGTTTTAGCTTGTGACAAGCAGGCTAGTGTGCAAATCTGGATTTTGGTGCTCAAATTTGGCTCTGTGTTAGGAAAGGTAGTTAGCTTTTGAGATGTGTGTATATATGTGTGGGAGGGGGTGTGTATGAACTTGCGTAATACATGTGAAGGTTTTTCTTCTTCAGTCTGAGTGATGTGACGTAGCCTCTTCCCCTCTTCATGAATAGGCCTTGAGTCTCACACAGTTTGCTGCAAGCGGCTGTTCTGTAACTGCAAACCCAACAAAGCTACTCTGTACTTGGTGAAATAGTTATTGGATCTGAATGACAGTTACTGTTTTGTTTTTTTTTCTAAAAGGTGTGGTCACTGTCAAAGACTAACCCCTGAGTGGAAGAAAGCAGCAACAGCATTAAAAGTAAGTTTAAGCTTTCAAATGTGCTAGTGGCAGTGCATTGAGGAGAGTTTGGCTGTTTATCATCTGGTTTGGGAACATGGAGGTGGGGTTTGCTCCCCAAAGCTGTATCACTTTAATCATACTTGTCCAGCTAGAGAAGTGGGCAATCAGAAGGACTTAAAGTCAGGATTTTCTTTTTTAAAAGAAGCCATTGAATTGCAGAGGAAGCAAGTCAATGCTGTCCCTGTGAATTCCCATTACTGTTTTCCAGGGCTGTTTTTAACAGCGCCAGAAGACATCAGAATCCAGCCATCCCCCAAAACAGCATGTTTCTCTTTTCTTCCTCGCTGTCCTGTCACCTGCCTCTGAAGTACAGGAACAGCATGAGCTGAATTATGTGAACACAGCTTTGTAAGCTCTTGGTCATGAGTATTTCTTTAATTATGGGAAACTTGGTTATGTATTGATTTGCTGAACTCTTGCCTATGTAAAATACATTCCACTTCTTAAAAATTGAACAAAAAAAACCCAACCAGAAAAAACACCAAACAATTTCGAATTTAGTTGGGGTGAAGAAAGAAGAGGATATATATGGTGTTCTGTAGTTTGTTTTTCAGGGGATAAAACCTCTCGTCTGGTGACTGTTTTCTTACCCCCCTAATAACACTTTCTCTACAGCATGCACAGAGTATAAAATGTGTTAAATCACTGTAGAAGTCTTGTCTGAGTTCCTGTTTTTATTTCCACAGGGTGTAGTGAAAGTAGGTGCAGTAGATGCAGATAAGCATCAGTCCTTGGGTGGGCAGTATGGAGTCAGAGGGTTTCCAACTATCAAGATATTTGGAGCCAACAAAAACAAAGCAGAGGATTATCAGGGTAAATGTGATGCTCTTTCACGTCTTGTATGCCTAAAAACTTCCCTGGATACAGTAATTACGGTAGCTGTTAATGCTGTCTTGTGTGGTGTTTCCTTTCTGTCTAGTGCTTGTAGTGAGAGACAGGTGGGTGGGACTTGTTTGACCAAATTGTGTGTGTCTTGGTGTGGGTGTCACATCCCACTAGGCAAGGAGGGAGAGGTGACTTGGGTTTGCCAATCCTCTGGGTGTAAATCAAGGTGCCTGTCACTTTAAATGCCTTAACAGTTGGGTAGCAGCTAAGCTCTTGCTTTTCCCAGACAGCCACAGCTCACTGCAGCTTGAACCTCTTCCGGCTTTATTGCTGAGAGGTTACTTCCCGACTCTCCCTGCCTAGATCCAGGTGGAGTTGGTATCCTTTGCCAGCTCCCCCAGGAGCAGGGAGCCAGTATCCTCAAAAAACCTTTTAACACCAAAGGGATCCTCTGATTTCCTTTGGTTAGAGAAGGGTGGGGTGGTTACAAGTTAGCCTTGGCATGACATGTTCCAGCTGGTCTCCTACATTGGGTCAACAGTCTCACCTGCAATTTGTAGTTGGTAGAGGTTGATAGGCAGTTCCAAAGAATTATTCTTTTCTTGCTGTTTACTGGGAGCTTGCCAGTCATGGCCCCATCAGATAAGGTGGTTAGTTAAAAAGTTGAGTGAAGTCAATCGTGCCACTTGTGTTTAAGTCAGTGATGTCCCACCACTAGTATTATATCACTCATAGCCCAGTCCTGCTTTTCCTGAAAAATCCTTAGGGCGAGGGAGTATGAAGTTTGTACTTAAGTCAGGGGCCTACCTTAAACTGGCCTTTTGATGCTTTAAACACTTATTTTGCTGTGTTGCAGGTGGCAGGACAAGTGATGCCATTGTTGATGCTGCTCTAAGTGCTCTTCGATCCCTGGTGAAAGACCGTCTTAGTGGCAGAAGTGGAGGATACAGTTCTGGGAAACAGGTATTTGAGGGAATATGTGCATTTACTTTCAACTGGAGGCTGTCCTGCACAGGACGTCAGGGCTTTTGCTCCTGACTCTTCAAAGAATAGCTGAAGTTGGAAGGAGCCTCTGGAAGTTGTCTAGTCCAGCCCCCTGCCTAGTGCAGGGGTCAACTAGAGAAGATGGTTCAGGGCTGTGTCGTGGTCAAGTTGTGAGTATCTCCAAGGACTGAGACTCCACACAGGCTGCACTCTTTGGGCAACCTCTTCCAGTGTTTGACCACCCTCACAGTAAAAAGTTTTAAGTTTAAATGAAATTATTTCATTTAATCTTATGTCCTTACGTTTTGTCTTGTCACTGGGCATTGCAGAGTGGGCCTGCCTTTGTTTTCTTTACACCCCTCCCCTTGGGTATTTATATACATGGGTAGGATCCACACTGAGCCTTCTCTCTTTCCAGCTGAGCAATCCCAGCTTTCTCAAGCTCTCGCAATATGTCAGATGCTGAAAGCCCTTAGTCAGCTTTGACCCTTTGTTGGACTTGCTCCAGTGTATGCATGCCTCGTATGCTGGAGAGCCCAGAACTGGACCCAGCACTCCAGATGTTCCACAGAGTGCTGAACAGAGGGAAAGATCACCTCCCCAGACCTGCTGGCAATTCTTCTGTCTAAACCAGCTCAGAAGGCTGTTGGCCACCTTTGCCACAGGGGTGCATTGCTGGCTCATGTTCAACTTGTCCACCAGGACCCCCGGGTCCCTCTCCTTCCCAGCTAGTCAGTCCCCAGCAGGTGCTGGTGCATGGGGTTATTATTCCCCCAGGTGCAAGACTTTGCATCTCTCCTTGAACTGTGAGGTCCCTGTTAACCCCATTTTCCAACTGGCTGAGGTACCATTTGCCTAGTCCTAGTCTAAGATAGATGGATGGGGTTGTTTTTTAATTTGGTAGTGTTCTTCTGAAGCTGGCTTGCTGGATTTCTCCCTGAAGGTACATTGAAAAGCTTCTGGTTCCTACTACTGTTTCTAAATCAAGGAGCAAGTATGCTCTGACGTCCTCAGGTTGGCCAGATAGAAGACCTGGGTGGACTGTACCCTGTAGTGTGTATTGCACTCACACATTTGTTTTGCCTGGAAACCAGGGCACAGTGGGGTGAGGAGTTTGGAGAGCGCTTTGTTCTTGGACAGATCAGAGCATGAAGAACTGAGGAAGTGTTCCCACATATTGTTAGTCAGTTTGACCTGATTTCTGTGGGGTTTTTTTTAAGAGAAGGTTCACTTGCTGGTTCTTGAAAGTGCTGTGGGAGTAGGCTGTGTGTCTTGTCAGTTCTAAAATGGGAAAGTTGTATGACCTAACACTGCCTGTTTTGGATCTCATTCAAATAAAGACCATTTGGTACAACATGACGCACAGGAGATGGCTTGTGTGGGAAAGCAGTTTTGGTTACTTCTTATGCGAGGCTCTGTTTCTTTCTTACAGAGCCGAGAGAGCGGAGGTGGAGATAAGAAGGATGTGATTGAGCTGACCGATGACAGCTTTGATAAGAACGTCTTAAATAGTGACGATGTGTGGATGGTGGAGTTTTATGCCCCATGGTGTGGGCACTGCAAAAAGTAAATGAGTTTTTTCTTTGACAGTTCAGTTCCCATTAGTGCTTGTTTTATGCAATACTCTTAATCCCCTAAAAGGGACCTTGCATCTCTGGTATATCAGAAATGGCATTTTCCGTAAGGTGTTTTAAGAAAACTGTGTGGACTTCTCCTGCTCAGGGCACCTCGGTGCTGCTCTGGCTGTACTCCTTAGCAGTAAAATTCCCAGTTACCCTGGGAAATAAGACCCCGAAATTAAATTAACCTTTTCATTCCTGCAGATACAGGACTTACAGTCTTATTTGGAATAACTCTCCTAGCTGTTATTCTCTGCAGAGACTTCATTTTATTTCCTGAGTGGAATATGCTACATAATGTTGGAATGTAGTAGACTTTTGCTAGCTCTGAGAGCTTAGAGCACTCATACTCTGTTTTTCAGCCTGGAGCCAGAATGGGCTGCTGCTGCCACTGAGGTGAAGGAACAAACAAAGGGAAAAGTGAAGCTGGCTGCAGTGGATGCAACAGTCAATCAGATGCTGGCAGGCCGATACGGGGTGAGTGTGCTCTGCAGTGGTTACAATTTCAATCTTTAGTAAGTCAGAATTTCCCTTCAATGCTTACTGAACTGTTCCTTAATCTGGTACCACTTGACATTATTTTTAGCACAAAACATTAAAGTGACACACACCACTCTTCCACAAATTCATTCCTGAATGTCAGTAACAATATAAACAAATGGGGTGAGAGGAAAGGAATGAGTCTGGATGTTGTTGATGAAAAAGGTTGTTTACTTCCTTCAGGTCTTGTATAGCTTTATCATCTGAAGTGAGAGCTCCCTTCTTTCAGACTGTATGCTAGCTGAGCATCTCTAGTACATCTTGAAGCCAGTTATCAGGGATCACTCTGACAACATTAGCTGCCCAGATCAGCTATGCTGCAGGTCCAATGTGAACTGATATTCTTTAATTTTTAATACAGTACAGGGAGCTTACAGT